TGTGATGATAATAAAATGTCTACTATGCTTGAATTTGATGGGAATGACAAGGGTATTTTGAATTGTGATATAGGTACACACATCCATTTTAAGAAAATTTTTCCACTCAACTTGATGTCTATGAGATTCTTAAGCTATTAGAGGAAATTCTGCTGCCCTTGTTTTAAAGTAAAACATGACATCTTGAATAGTGAAAGAGGTGGCTAGCATGTAAGCCAATGTTCTTGCAAGCCAAGTTGAAGAATTGGGAGTATAAGTAGAAGGAGGTAAATGACTATTCTTTGTTTGATGTTAAGAGTATTGAGGTTCATTTACATAATCCTTTGATTGGTTCTCATGATCATACCTTATAATAGTTCTTCTTTGCTACTTTCTTATACTTGGATGTCTACAATTTGTGCATGGTTTGTGTAAAGTCCAAACTCAATCCGAACTTTACCATTCCTAATCACATAATCACCAAACACAAGAATAAAATATCAGTAATAGCCCTTTACTTGTTTCTAAATTGTTAGGATCCTGACTTTTTAAAAAATATATATTGAAATAAAAGGGCTAGCAAATACACAATTCGACTCAAAAGGCACAATCCTTATCTATGAAATGTGCCATGTATATCTCAAAATTTTAAGATCCAAATTTAATTTAAAATAAAATATCTATGAATAAATTAAAAATTATGAATAATTTGATAGAGGTCTAGAGTTCAAATTTTACTAAGCAAAAGTTTGGTTTTAGTTTATTTTATAATTATGGGAAAAATTACCAAAGTTGCCTAGGGCTTTTATGCTATAATAGAAAAATGTTGGGCCCTTCTTGGTAATTTTTCCTAAAGTATTATTATTAGTTTTTTAAGAGCAATTTCAAGTAGAAATGACACAAAGAAAGTAAAGAAACAAAGAGCAAGAAAAATAAGAGAGTGAGAGGAAGAAGAGAGTAGGAAGAGAGGGAGTTAGGCTCAATCTAGGAGGCTTTATGATTGTTGTGAGATCCGCTACACGATAGTAACTCCCTACTTCAATCATCTTCCTCCCTTTTATTTTTCTTTAATTTTTGGAAGAAGAAATTTTTGGATTTTGATCTTAAAGGCTTTATTCTTGTAAATTTTTATTTCTTTGGGTTCTTGAGAGATTATTTTGAGTTTCTATATAGTGCTCTAATATTTTAGTAGGCAATGGATGAAAAAGGAAGTTTTAGGGCAAAAATCAACCCTAAGAGATGAATTTCACCTCTCAATGGTTTAAGCCTATTGATTTAGTTATAATTATGCTATTGAATCTAATAAGATTTAAATTAAGCTTTGGTTTTCTTTATAAGGGTTAATATGAAAGTGGTGACATTAAGTGAAGGTTTTTAGTTGGTTAAAAATTATATGATTTTGAAATTGGCCTAGTGGTGTCTAATAAATGATTTTGTGGTTACGTGATACTATGTAAATGGTTGGTTTTAATATATAGATCATTAGGATAGATTATATGCTCATTGGCCTAAGTTGTGTGGTCTGAGTTATAGTCTTCATTATGCTATTTTTCATGAAAAGTGATGTGGATCACTTATATTGTAGGAAATTGTTGGTGGAACTTAATTGGAGGATAAAGGACAAGCAAGTTTTATTTTATACAAGAGGGAAATCTTTTTGGTATAAAAGAGTTGAGTAACAGGAGAATTTATATTTCTTATTACTACTTTGTTTAGCTATTTTTGAATAATATTATTAGCTATCATGCATTATGTTTTTAAATGATTAAATGCAATTAATTATATTTTATAACAGACTTATAGGATACTACTTGAATAATAGTGCATATATTCTTTCTATATTTTGTTTATAATAATATTTTTATAGAAACAAGGTTGTTTGCACGCATTGTAATTATAGAGAATGAAGTTGCACTTAAGGAAGTGTAACTGGGTTGGTACTTTAAATAGGCTAAAGAACTGCTTACATGAGAAGTGATATTTGTTATACTACCTTAGAGTATTGAAGTGGTCAAAAATTGAAAAAGGTAGACAAGAGTGAAAGGTATGATCTCGGTAGGAGTTCACCAATGGGGAGGTGTGGACTTGTAATATTCTATGGTACACTGTAGTACTTAGTGTTGCCTTTCGTATTGCAAGCTCAGTGTATTAAAGTGGTTGTGGATTGTGTGTTTGATACCTCTCAGTGAGGGAGGGAATCTGACATATGAAGTGTGAGGTTGAATGCCTAGGCCAAGGTAGCCCTCACATGGAGAGTAAGTCAGGCTAGCTCTAAGAAGGAGTTAACTACTACTACTCATGATTCATGTTATAGGAGCATAGGTGGTTAGGTGGATTCGATCATGCCTTAGATTATGTTTTATGCTTGTAGAGGTATAAGTGGGTATAAGGTTTACCTGTGAGCTAAAGAATGCCAGGGGCATTCTGTCAGTCAAGAAAGGTCATACCGGCCTATGTCATGCATTCATGCATTTTAAATAATTAAATTATATGTTATATTTAATCTACTATTCATTTATTTGACTATGGCTTACTTTGTAATAATAAAATGTAAATTTCTCTGTTATTGAGATTATGGTTATCTCACCCCTTTCCTTTCAATATTTTCAAGTCCAGATGAAGGATTTAGTGGTGGACAAGGAAAGGAGTAGAGTTAGGGGTTGTTTGTGGATTGTAAAGAACTACAACCCCTTTCTTTTGAGCAAATCTATTATAATATATTTAATATTAGGGTTTTAGTAGGATGTGACTATACATATATGTGAATATGTGTGGATTGTGTGCTTATGTATGAATTTTTGCCACTTGTAGACTTGTGTTTAGGAAATGGTTATGATGTGTGATTTTGATGGATTCTTTTGATAGACCAAGTTTTCACTACAAGAAAATGTTTATTTTGGTATATATATATATATATATATATGAATATGTGTGATTCTACACGCAATTGAAAAGTAGTTGTATTGTGAATTATATGCTAAGGGCAAACATACACCTTGGATAGAGAGGGTAGGTTCGTGGGCCCTATGGGGATCTCTGAGCCAAGTGAAAATATTTAGCATGTGCATTATATAAACACATGGTGTTTGGATTGACTTTTGATCACTCATATGATTTTGTGCATTTTGGGAGTTTAAAGTCCATTTTAAGAAATGGCACCCGAGTGGTCAAATTTTAATGTATAGGGGTTTTCCATCATTTGAATGCTCTATTAGGAACTCTTAGTCCTATTTGACATGTCCAAAGTGTTCCCACAAGTTTGTGACACTTAGGATGAGATTTGAATAATTTTGAAAATGGTTTTTACTAAAAAACTATACTTTTGCATCTTAGTGTTTAAATCTCAATCCGACTATTGGATTTCTATAAAATTTAGATCACAAGTAAAAATTTTGATAAGCTTCGTGTGGGCTTTAGAATCACATCGATCGGACATCAAATGGAAAAATGGTGAGCTCCGAAAGTTGATCTAGAGATGTTGTTAATGTTGTCATGACAACAATACAATAATGTCATGACAGCAACCATTGTTGAGGTTGGGATGTGCATGAGTTTTGATCTGATTGTTAGACCTTTTTGAAATTTGGTACACTTGTAGTACTCTTTGAATGTGATGTGTGGGCTCTAGAATCACTTTGATCAAAGGTCGGATGATGAAATGGTGCACTCTGAAAGTTGGTTCGAATGTGTTGTTATGACAGCAAAAATGACAAACTTGTAATGTGTCCAAATTTTAATCCGACCATTAGATCTTTTTGAAATTTGGTACACTACTAGTAATCATTAAAAATGATGTGTGAGCTTTAAAATTACTTTAATTGGAGGTTGAACGGTGGAACAGTGCCTCCTGAAAATTGGCCTAGGAAGGATATCATGGTAGTAGTTTAATATTGTCATGATAGCATCTTTTTACCTTACTTTTGTCTAGCTTGCTTCCATGTGCTATAGGTAGAACTTATTTTTTTCTAAAGGTTTTCAATGATTTTTTCAATGGTGTATTTGTTTAGTGATTTAAATGATTGGCTTTCTAAGTTGATTTTAGGATCAACTCCTTAACCACACTTAGTTTATTTGAATTGTGTGATTTTTGGATAACACTCGAGGCAGGTGTTACATGCCATGTTCCATGGCATGTGGCATAAAGCAATGTGCCTTACCTTTATTTGTGCCATGCGTCGTGGTGTGGCACACCATACACCATAGTGCAATCTGCTATCATATGGTAATTTAGCAAGGGAATATCTATCACGCGCCATTTCCAATCCAACGTCCGATTAGAGTGATTCAAGCGCCCACACAAAGCTTACAATATATTCTAGCTAATAAAATAAGTTTGAACTTAATTTGATGGTCTGATCTAAAATTAGACACTCAGGGTATAAAAGCTACTTTTTCTTTCAAAACTTGCACCCTAAGTGCTCAATTCTCATTCCTCATCTCATTAGACCACTTCGGGCCTTGAATTAAGTCTAAAAGGACCACATACACCTGATTGACACTTCATACCACATATAACACATCATATATTCAATTTGACCTCTCAATGCCACATTACACACTCGTGGACTTATATGAGGCGTGATACATACAACATAATACAAAGAGACTTGTTCCACTTTCAATCATCCGACTCTTACATATAGGGCTCCGCCTCATCATATGGTCGGGAATCACAACTATACTTGATTCTTCCAAATAGGTTCTACCTCACCACTTGTGTCAAGTTATCACTTACAAAAACACAATCACCACATCAATTTTCACATATATATAAGTGGAACAA